AGAGAGAGAGAGAGAGAGAGAGAGAGAGAGAGAGAGAGAGAGAGAGAGAGAGAGAGAGAGAGAGAGAGAGAGAGAGAGATGTGCATTGTTGGGATTATCTGGCCAGTTTTGGGGGCTTCCCCACCTGCCTTCCCCTTGTGGTTTTACTGGGCCCGAGTTTGGGCCTCTCTGTTGGCCCCCGTCAAATTGGGTCTTTCCTCCAGATGGTTTCCCGGCCTCTCGGTTGGGTGCATGAGGCACCATCAACGCACTCTGATCACGAAAAGTCAACATATACAAGCTATATTTTTCCTTGGCTGCACACAGCCATGATGAGGGTGCCTTGCGTTTGGGGGAAGATGGGTAGGAGGAAAGGCAGCAGGTCAAAGAGTGCTCAGCTGGTATCTCGTCGAGCATCGAGGCTTAGCAGTCTATTTGTATTTTGTAATTTGTACCATCTCTCAATTTGTTCGTGTCATCGAAGGACAGTTCCCATTGTTTCTTTGACGCTGCTGCTTCTGTTCTTGTTGTGACATTCGGTAACGATTGTCTGCCTTTCTTTCTTTCTTTCTTTCTTTCTTTCTTTCTTTCTTTCTTCTTCTTCTTTGCTTTCCCGTTGTAGTTATTGGTTGTTGGTTGTTGCGTTTATTCTTTGTTGTTTTGTTGTTGTTTTGCTGTTTTTCTGTTTTGTTGTTTTGTTTTTTTTTTTGTTTTTTTTTTGTTTGTCACTTGTTACGTTTGTCGCTTGTTACGTTTGTTGTTTGTAACGTTTGTTGTTTGTTACGTTTCTTGTTTGTCGTTTGTTTGTTGTTTGTTTGTTTTTCGTTTGTTTGTTCTTTGTTGTTTGTTGTTTGTTGTTTGTTACGTTTTTTGTTTGGCAGTGTTTTTTGTTTGTCGTTTGTTTGTTCGTTGTATTTTTTGTTTGTTTGTTTGTTTGTTGTTTGTTGTTTGTTGTTTGTTGTCTTTTGTCGTTGTTTGTTGTTGTGGTTGTGGTCTTTGTTGTTGCTGCTATGAGCAATTCTTATGATTATGATGGCAATGATGATGATCCGTACCTGTGGAACGGTGATTACTTGGCCATTGACAGTGACTTTCCCCGCAAAAATAAGATCCTCACAGCTTCTTCTGGAGGCAACTGCCCAGTATATGCATTGCATGGAGAATTACGAAACAAAAACAAAACAAAAACAAAGGTTCAGAACAGCACTGCGGTTCAGTACCAAGAAGATACAGCAAGGGAAATCATATATTGATTTGCGACTCAGTTAGAAGGCTGTGGACAGAGATTCACAGCATCGCACTCCAGAGCCTAGCAAGGAAACTGCAATTTCGTTAAACCACCAGTACATGGCACCAGACTTGCAAGATTTGTGTGTTTTTTTTTTCCCCGTTCATCTTTTTTTTTTTCTCCTCTGTTTTTCTTTTTTGTTTTGTTTTTATTAAGAGGGCTGCGTCACACCTCGCTGCAGTGCAGGGCGAAGGCAACGCTGGAGGGACCGAGCAGGCAAACCTGCCCCTACGACCCCTCCGTAGCCCAGAAAAATTAATTTAATATCGTTGTGGCCCGATGGACCACGGATCAGATATTACACTGATCAGAACAGATACTACACTTGATCTTAGCCAAAAGGCCGAGAAAGTTTTTTTTTTCCCGTTCATCTGGTCCCATCTGAATTCGAACTCGGGTCTGCATTTCAACAGTGGCTGGTGGCACCGCGCTGGCGGTTCCGCAAAAAGCTTGGCGCGCAGTGCAGTGCAGAACCGCCAGGCCCAGGTGTAATGGTGGTGGTTTCGCACGAAATTGATTGATTTCTGCTGACCCCAAATGAGGCTACTCATGTGCCATTTTGGGGGAGATGTCAGGAGAAATCAGCAACCTTGATATCTGCATGTAAGTCCCTCCAACTGAGAGACATGGGCAGAAATCAGGAAGCTCTATTTCTGCATGATGTTCGCACTGGCTGAGAGATACCCACAGATTCCTGATTTCTGCCGATATCTCTCAGCTGGTGGTGGGACCATCATGCAAAGGGACCAGACCCAATGGGACTACCTATTTGCTAGTGGGGCCGACCCAATGGGACTACCCTCTTTGCTAGTGGGACCGATCCAATGAGACTACCCTCTCTGCTAGTGGGACCGACCCAATGGGACTACCCTCTTTGCTAGTGGGACCGATCCAATGGGACTACCCTCTTTGCTAGTGGGACCGACCCAATGGGACTACCCTCTTTGCTAGTGGGACCAGAGCCGATGGGACTACCCTCTTTGCTAGTGGGACCAGGCCCAGCTGATGGGACCATACTGCAAAGGGACTGACCCAATGGGACTACCCTCTTTGAGCTTGGGGCTGGAGAGGGAGTGGTGGAAAGTCAGCCCCACATCTGAATGGGGCCTGGTGAAAAAGATTCCAGGCCCCAGGGGCATGGCAGGAAAGTCTGTGGTCCCGGGAGGTGACGGAAATAAGGCACCCTTTTTGGGGGCATAGCTGAGAAGCTGGGTAGCTGTACGGCTCAGTGTCGAGCTGTTGTCTCAGCACAACTTGGGCCTGGTCCCACTAACAAAGAGTGGTTGGATTTAATTCCTGAATCCGGATACGTTTGGGGGAGAGATGCAGAAAAGCAGATCAATCACAATTTTGTGGATCTATCCACAAACACATCCAGATTCAGGAACTAAATCCAATCCTCTTTGCTGATGGGACTAGGCCCCTGATTGTCTGTGTCTGCTGGGCCGGGGCCCCAAGGTCGGCTTCGTGCAGGATCACCCTTCTGTCCCTTCTCTCTTGGGCCCAAGAGAGATTTTTGGGGGCCCAACCTTGGGCTCTGGGCCCCAGCACTCAATGTTGGATTTTCGGGGGGGTGGGGGAAAGAATCATTCAGCCACATATGCGTAATAATCAATCATGTGTGAAAATAATCAATCAGGCAAGCAGAGTTTCGCTTTTTTGTTCTTGGAATCCTGGTCGTCTGGGACTGGGTTTCTCTTTTGGGGAAGGATCGCATACAGGCCCTTGCCGAAATTGCAGAGACCAGTATGGCCCCTTGAGAATGTGCCTCGACATAAAGTACGTCCAGGCACATCCGATGCTCCCGGCCTCTTGCAGGACCAGATCCGTTCTGACCCGATCGGGGTATTCTGGCCCGATCGGAACATCAACGGGAGCCACCGACGTAATTTTCCCTTCCCCTTTATCAATTTGTAATTACTGTAAATAAAAAATGACCATCCTCTGTAATCCGGGGCCAAGGTCCCACTTACCCGGGTCCTGTGATCTGGCGGCCAAACCTGGTGGTCCGCAAGGGAAATCCACACTGGCGGTCAAGTGGGGGGTTATGGGGGGGGGGGGGGGGGGGGGGGGGGGGGGGGGGGGGGGGGGGGGGTGGCTTGCCCCAGCTGGACGTGTTTGTAAGGAGGTGCATAAAATCGTGATTGATGCGCTTTTTCTGCATCTTTGCAAAAAACACATACAGATTCAGGCGCTTAGTTCCAATCCTCTTTGCTACCTAGTGGGACCTCACCCAAGGTGTTCTCGATCCCATAAGTCTAAAGGACTCAAATGCACTTTTTTCACCAACACAAATTTTTTCTCACAGAAACTAGCACAAAATTTCCTTCCCAAGTTTCGGAGGGTGAGGTCCCACTACAAAAACGGATGGGATTGAAAGCCTGAATCCGGACGAGTTTGTGGAGAGGTGCAGAAAACCGCCGTTGATCTGCTTTTCTGAACCTTTGCATAAAACACGTCCAGATTTAGGCGCTTACTCCACTCCCCTTTGCTAGTGGGACCTAGCCCACGGTGCAGTAGTGCAATGTACATTCTTTGTGTTCATCTTTACGGAGATACCAAGACATCCTCTCCAGTTGAACCAGGACACTCGGTTCCAGTGGGCGGCCACACTACCGTCTTCCCGAACATACCCTGATAATGAATGTATAGAAGCCATCTTTCCTGTCCGGTACTGGCAAAATGAGGGTGCGTTGTGTTCGGGGGAAGACGGTAGACCGCAGGGGTTGGTGGGTTGGGGAAGGTCAGTTCACTACAATGGAACTTTGGTTGTTCCCGAGTGCCGGCCGCAGTAGGCCGGGTTCAGACCGAACTGTAGGTCTGTGTATTTTGGCTACCCAGGGACAGTAGGCTTTTGCAATTGATTTGAAAGAGAGAGATTTGAGAGAGTAATCTGGAACCTTCAAGCAACAATTTGGCAGTGAACTGTGGTACTCATTAGACTTAGGACTGTACTTCATAAGCTACACGGGCTGATGCTGCTGGGATAACTTCGGGTCGAATTGTGAGGTCCGCCGCCTCTATCCATGTGTTGATTGATTAAAAAATGGCACTTTTCTTTATTAAAAAAAACAAATAAATAAAAAATACATCCTCTGAAATGGGCCATGTTATAGAGGGGGGAAAAGGGAAAAACACAGGAAGATCCTCAGCCGCTGGGACCATCATGCAGAAATCGAGATGGACTGTATCGGGAGGGTCATATCAAAAATGTTGAGCTGGCCGGTAGGGGGCATTGTAAGAAGTTGAACAGGTACCAGTAGGGGCATTAGGAAAAGACTTCAGGCCCAACTGATGCCAGGGCTTTTTTGCGAAGCCGAACCCAGGGGTAAGAACGGTCCCAGGTGCGCGATGCAAATAAATGCATCTTGAGGGTCATCAGACAGAACCGCGATTTTGTGTCAAGAAGGTTGGGTCAATCGCCGGAAACTGGATGAGTTTTCTGCAGATATGCAGAACAGGACATCAAAATCGCGATTTTGTGCCCCTCTCCACAAACACGGCCAAATTCAGCCGTTAAATCCAATCCTCTATTTTCAAAGAATAAAAGGGCGACGGCCTTGAGGCATCATCGCCGATCCCGGGGGAAAAATACAAAAAAAAGGACATCGCTGAGCTCACCTGGCCCAGGTAATGCAGGTACTTTGTTCTTCAAGTCATATCTAGATTCGAACACGCGTCTTTGTTTCAACAATTCACGGGCGTGCCAACTGGGCTAGGACAGTTGGTACTGTCTTTCTTCTTTGCTACCCGGTAGCGGCACTGCGACCTGATCATCTGATCGCTGGGCCATCGACCCACATGCGAAAAAGAACGGAAAAAAGAATGGACTGGATGAAGGGAGAGAAGAAAGGGGGTTTGGCGGGGGGGGGGGGGGGGGGGGGGGGGGGGGGGGGTACGGGAGAGGAGGAGGGCGAGGAGGGGGCGGGGAGGAGGGGAAGGGACTGTGAGAGAACGAGAAATGGAGATGAAGGTCAAGAAAACATGGTGACGTCACCTCCAGCCGCGGCAAGTACTTTGCTTAGCCGATTGGTTTTCCCATCGGCACCGGTCGTTCTCTCGGTGAAAAACGTTCTTGTGGCTTTCAATTGCAGTGATATCCGATCCTTAACCGTCGACGTCGCCGGATCGGATGGCTGCTGGAGGGATTGATTGTCATCATCATTCCGCGATTGTTCAACAGCGGTACTGCGCACGCTCGGTCGCGCTCGCGCTCGCGCTTCTCTAGCGCTTGTCCGCCGCCTCCGCCTCCAGTCCGCGTCGTTAACGGACCCGACGGCGGGCGGGGGATTCGGTTTGGCACCTGCTCCACCCCGGGCGCGCGCGGAGCTTGCGCGGGCGTCGTCCTCAACTCCCTGCCCCACACCTTCCTCTTTGCCCTGGCTTCGCCGCTTCCGCGGGTCAATCATGCGCAACACCCCATCATCACCCCTCGTTATCAGGGGAATGTATTCCTGCTGAGATGCGGCGCTGCAAAGCACTCTACCAGTCGATAAACCTCTCCCTCCCCTCCTCCTCCCATCAACCCCGGGGCCTGTCCCCCCCACCTTCCTCTCCTTCAATCGGCCATGGACGACAGTCGGACACAACGCGGCGCAAGCAGCAGCCGCTCCCACACCCGACGACGAGAACGCCGATCGCAGCGACGGCCGCAGTCGCCGCCGCCATAGCCGATGAGGCTGATGAGACAACGGAAGGAAGAGCTGTCGGCGGTGGTGGTCCTTAACGACTTCTGCAGCTTGCAATCGCGAGATCGGCAAGTTTGGGAGGAGGCCGTTGATGATGCTTTCACTCAAATTCAAATTTGACGATGCCACGTGGCGCATTCTAAGCCGTAGAAGAGAGCCAGCTGGTCGAGACAAAGCAGCATAACCAGCAGGAGCCGGCGTGTTTCCCACGTCACTGGGCAGATGCGGTGATGAGTTCTTCCCGCTCAGATCCAGCCAGGATGATCTTCTGCCGGCGGTGAAAACTGCCGATCCTGTGACAAAAACGTTTTTCGACGGTGGTGGCGCGGTGAAAACTGCCGATCCTGTGAAAAAAACGTTTTTCGACGGTGGCGGCGAGGGCCAGCATACGTGACTGTGACGCCTACTACCGGTAGGCAAAGAGAAGAAGGAAGGACAGCGCGGGCTTTTCCATGACTCTGGCGTTTTGCAGTACGCCTCGCGCCATTTGGTGATAGTACGGCGGCGGCCGCATGCAGCAGCACCACCCCGCCAAAATGACAATCGCCCGTATCGCTGCTGGGAACGACTGCCTCTGCCTCTGGTTGCTAGATTCTTCTCGCGAGCGCTTGCGACAGATGACAGCCGTCCGATCAGAGATGGAGATACTCCCGCCCACCCGTGAGATTTGGGCGGGCGCGGGAGAAGAAGTTGTCCTGCATGCCCTAGCGCGGAGGAGGTGCATAGCGCCCGACTGCCAAACACCTGTGCCGGCGCCATCGCTGGCTGGTTCCCCCCCCGCCCAAGCGCCTGGTCTGAGACCACAGCCGCGAGCTGGCTGGTTCGATCCCCCGCCCACAGCCGCGCGCTGGCTCGTCCGATGCCCCGCCCAAACGCCTCACCTCACTGAGACCACAGCCGCGAGCCGCCGGATTCGATCCCCCGCAGCTCAAGCGGCTTGCTGAGATGAAAATTAGACCCCGCGCAAACCCCTCTGGCTCGGCCAAGTGGGTCGGTCAACAGCCCACCACCGTCCGCAGCACGAAGCGCAGAAGGCGTTCCGACGGCGGGACGTCACTCATTGTTGAGTCCATTCCATTCAAATGTGTTCCGTGGACTTAGGTCGGATGGCCGTTGCGGACGTTGGTCTGGTTCGAGGTCCTTCGGGAAATCCACCGCACTTCGCTGCATCCAGCAGGTTCTGTGAGGGGCCGAGGCCTGGCGTCATCCGAACCCCCTTTTTTCTTTTCCCTTACTTCCCTTATTAGAGCGGATACTCACACTTATTCATGGCCGTAATCGCAGTAGAATACGTCCAGGTCCGTCGGTCCGATAGTGCTACTGTGGTGTGAATGCACCCTTACTCGAAGCGGGTAGCCTATCTGTTGCAAAATGAAGATTCGAACTCATGATCTGATCGTCAACTGCAGTGCAGCAGTCAGAGCCAGTGCACTGGCTCTGAGTCTGTGATCTCTTTTACATTTTTTTTATTTTTTTTTCTGGGCCAAGTACTGGAGGGCCTATTATGACCTGTGCGGCACTGAAAGAAAAGGAAGAAAGTAATTTTTAAGACGAAAAAAAAAAAAATGGCCACGTCACATTTCCCAAGATGGGAAGGAGGAGGACTTTTGAAAGTGCCTTGGGAAGGAGGCGGACTTCTGAAAGTGCTGCAGTCCCACTAACCCTCCGGTCTCCTCCCCCTCCTCCCCATCCAGCCAATCCCTAATCAGGACAGAGTGGTAAGCCAATCCCTAATCAGGACAGAGTGGTATGTGACTGTTGCAGTCTCGCGTACCACCGCGAGGGAGTCCCTTCGTGTGCCTGATGGGACTTCCTTCTCTGCAGTCTCGCGTACCACTGCGAGGGAGTCCCTTTGTGTGCCTGATGGGACTCCCTTCTCTGACTGTTGCCATGCTGTATATTTTGAGAGAAAAATCAAGTACTCGATGGGTTGCAATTGACTGGGAAAAAGAAGGCGGTCAAAACCATGCCCTTCGAGTACCTGATTTTTTTTCAATCTTCTGGGCCCGGGACCCACATGCACAGTGCAGTTGTAGTTTTCTACACTGTGTGACGTGGGGGGCGGGAAAATCCAGAAACCTGCTGGGCTGTCAGCGGGCGTGGCGCCCGGGGATTGGTGGCCAACCTCAATTCGAATCATCTTCCGTTTTGTAGCGGTAAAATCACAGTAAAATCATCGTAAAATCCCTCAACAACTTAGAAGTGGCGGTAAAATCACAGACTTTCCACCAAAACAATCAACGCGGTCGTTGTCGTTAGCAATCGCACTTCTCTTGGAATAGCTTTCTACCACGCAGAACACGGCCTCGCCTCCTCCAAAACCACGTCTCTCAGCTGAAACAAATGTCCGAAAGACTCAGAAACCCCGCGCTCTTCTCACATTTGCGCGGGTTGACTGTGCGCACGTCCGATCCGGGTCCATCATGCATCCAGGATTCGCCGCCCGCAGCCGCCCGACACCACCCGCTTCCGGCTAACTAAACTACACGGCGCATGTGGGTCCCGGCCCCTGAAGAGCTGCCAATCAAAACGAGTCTTTCTATTTTCTTTTCCCGCCTCCCATTCTTGGGAACTGAAAAGAAAAAGCACAAAAAAAAAAAAAAAACACCACTTCAGAATATAAATCGCTCGGAATTTCGCTGCCATCCAATTCTCCTGCATCAGTGGTCGGACGATGTCCCACAGATGTCCCACAGGTGTTTGTGGGACACAGTTTACCTTTTTNCATCAAAGGCCGTCCCTGCTTAGTTAATCGGGTACAGCAGCAGCGGAGATGGTGGCTCTGCTGCAGTAAGTCTTGCCGGAGTGAGATGAAGAGGATTGATGGGGGGTTTCTGAGTCGTTTCTGAACTTTGCCTATTTTAAGGTTTGTCGTAGTTTTTTTTGGGGGGGGCAATTTGCTCCAATCTATTCGTGGGGAGCAGCACGTGCTGGAAACCGGGTCCAGCGTCCCACATGAATTATTACACAACATATGAGGTGCCGGGGCCATTACCCGACTTCGGCTAAGAATCTTGTTTTGATGAAGAACTACAAAATTGAATACTATGGGCTTCAGCTAAGAATCTTTTTTTGATGAAGAACTAAAAAATTGAATACTATGCTATATCAGCCATTCCAGCTTCCTAAACATAGAGCAACTCCTAGCCCTCCCTATATCGGGACATTACTACTCAAAGACAGTACTGACCAGACCAACATCATCCATAGCTGACCTCTTCTCACCACCAAGACTATCCCCGATGGGACACAGTTTACCTTAGTCCTTTGCTAGTGGAACCATGTTCCTGGTGGTTTAAAAAATTTGGACATTTCTCGATTTATGCGTGTCATCCTTGAGCAGGGGCCATGCTTATCTTCTCTGTATCGTTCCAATTTTAACGGATGTCCCGAAGGACCTCTTACATTTTTTCAGAAGGGGTAACCGACATCATGTTTTTGAGAGGTCCACCAAGGGCTAGATGAACCTAGATCCCACTGACAAAGAGGGTTGGAATAAGTGTCTGAATCAGGACGTGTTCCACATCGAGATGCAGAAAAGCAGATCAATCACAATCTTTTGCACCTCTCCACAAACATGTCCAGATTCAGACACTTATTTCAATTCTCTTAGCCACTGGGATCTCGCCCTAGCTGTGCTGAAAGAGTTGGGCCGGCCAGCGTCAACAATATAATAAAGAAAGGCGACTCCACAGATCGAACCATCAAAGCACTTTTAAATCACAAGTACTTGACTCATACATCGGCCGCGAGCCCTTTTCGTATATGCGCCGTTGATAAATTTCATCAACAACAATTTTGCGCTTACGGCCTCCAAAAGTCGCGGTGAGGGGCCCACAACCAATGTATGGGCCACATACTGGTGGTTCGAGAAAACAAGTGACCCGCAGTAGCCATCAACGACCATTTTTGCGCTTATGGCCTCCGAAAATCGCGGTGAGGGCCCGACAACCAATGTATGGGCCACATACTGGTGGTTCAAGAAAACAAGTGTCCCGTCATGGCTACGCCTGCGGTGCACTCCACAGGAAGTCGGTAACAGAGGGAAGGGAAGAGCACATGTTTGGTATCTCTTAGTTGTCAAGGTCATCAATGGTGTTCAGAGAGGGAAACCGTCAATGTCCTTTACGATCTTCCTCCTCCTCATGCTCCTCCTCCCACCTCTTGATACATCTCTTCGCCCCTTCCCCTTCCATGACCCCCTTCCCCTACGTCCTCCTCCTCTCTTATGCCTGATCATCATCATCATCATCATCATCATCATCTTGATTGTCATTTTCCACCATCCATGTCAGGCTCCCTCCCACGTCATTGTCCTTTCCAACCTCCTCCTAAGAGAGGGAAGAGAAAAGAGTGCAACACAGAGAAGGTATGAACTTGTAATCGAACAAACCTCATCGCTCTATTCAAGTGCAGCCACCCGACTCAAACCGTCGTGGCGAAAAGGACAACCCGACATTCATGCGCAATGGCAAAATCGAGACAAACATGAACAGGACAACAGAGTGGTTGTGTGGGGCTGGCAAGTCGGAAAGCAGACAAAGCGCAACACAAAACATCCGCACCCACAAAATGGGGAAAATAACAGAGAACAGCAGATGACTCAAACTCTTATCTACGAAACAAAAAGCCCGCAGGTAACGGGCTTGACACAAAAAAACTTTGCTAAACCACACTGAGCAAGATTCGAGCCGTCGTCCACCCGTTCGAACTGACAGAAAATTTTCCGCCAACTATAACGAAAACTAGGACCAGGTCTACTGTGTACTCGTATTCGAACATTCGGGGAAATGCGTCAACGCACAAAACTGACTGCCCGTGACGGTTGCAAAAATGCAGCCAAAAAAATAAGGAACCATGCAGCCCTACAACCGTCCTGCCTGCCTACAATAGACATAGGTGAGATATATGCAAGAAAACTTGATTTCTCCTTCCTCATTGCCTCTCTGGAATGAACCTCCAACGCCCACTCGGGAATTCACTCTTCCTCGACCACTACCTCCTCCTGTTCACTCAAAGTAAGGCAAAACTTTGCGGCATGGATTGTATTAAGGATACCATATTTTCTCACCCACGAGCAATAAGAGCAGAATATGGTGCCTCAACAACCCCTGGAGAACAGTGGGGCACCATTTTCGACCAAAAATCCAAAGAATAGGTGTGTGGAGTTCTCATGTTTTGTTTCCGAACGATTTTATATGCACGTCACTCAACCACATTGGGCAGGGTGTGACAGCAAGGAGTTGTTTGATTTGGGAAACCTCTTCCTATCTAGTTTTTTTACCTTAGAGAGATGTTCCTCTATGCATCCACGTATACATGTTGGAAACGTTTTGGCATGGTGGGTAGATTGACCACCATTCGTGTACAAAGATGGTATCCTCGCAAATATGCATGTCTTGAGGAAAAAGGTTTCGTGGGTTAATGGGTCGGCAAGGCCGTATGATGCAAGCCGTGTAAATAAGATAAGGCTACAAGGTCTCTATCGATTTCCCTTTTGGATATAAAAAAAAATGATATTTATATTCATTTGCCAAATATCTGCAACGCCCTTCATTTTTTTTTTAAATTTGAATTGTCTACAGACAACCGACTTTGCCACTATTAAACCAATTGCGTTAAGTTCCTAGGCAATGAGTTGTTGTCAAATACCCTCGGTGCTTCAGTCCTATTGTGGATCACCCTCCTTATTTCATTCATATCATGGTAGTAGATTTTCCCTCACACTAGCATCCTCCACCATTTGTATGCGATAGGCGAAGTTGTTGTTTCCATCTGTAAACAAATTTGAGTATCGAGTTATTTATTCACTTCACGTTATTTGTGTGTCACTATTACCATACACTCTCATTCATTTGCAGTTGTTTGTAATATTGAATC